ACTTGCATTGAGCAAATCCACTGCAAAAGACCTCGTTCAAGTGCTGAAGAGCAGATGTCTCTTTGAACACTAAGGTGCACCTAACCCAAGCCATGGTATTTTCAGTCACCTCATATGCGTGTGAGAGCTGGACAATGAATAGGAAAGAGCAAAGAAGAGTTGATGCTTTTGAGTTGTGGTGTTGGTGATGAATACTGCAAGTACCATGGGCTGCCAGAAGAACTAACAGATCTGTCCTGGAAAAAGTGCAGCGGAATGCTCCTTTGAAGTGAGAATGTCCAGAGTTTGTCTCACCTACTTTGGTCATGTTGTCAGAAGGGACCATTCGCTGGAGAAGGGTATCACGCATGGTAAAGTGGAGGGTCAATGAAAAACTGGAAGGCCCTTGATGAGACAGATTGACACAGGGGCTACAACAACGGGCTGAGGGTTGTGAGGCTGGTGCAGGACCAGGAACTGTCTTGTTCTTCTGTGCATAGGATCGCTATGAGTCGGAGCCCACTTGACAGCACCTAATAACAACAACAGCTAACAGGTAGCGATTTTCCATTTATCTATTATCTGGATATGCCAGATGCCTTTGGAAGATTGTATGATGGTTTGACATATTAATGGTTCCAAGAACTCGGGTTTTATCCTATAGGCACAGTGAACTTCTTTTCCAAAATACACATTAGGAGACATAAATTCCCATAGTCACATGGGAGCATCAATCACAGATAATGAAGGTAAAATCAAGCTAATTTTCTTTGTTCTTGAGCCATTGGTGGTACCTTTTAATGACATTCTGTTATCTCACTTATGTGCGTCATAAGTGTAATAGCTGTGCATTCCAGACATTAAAAACTTGGTAGCTTACTGACCCCCTTTTCCCATCAGTGACATTAGACAATATATAGCTAGAATCTTTGCTAACATGCCAAATACTTTTGTTTCCCAGAATAAGATCTGGCCCATAAATATCTTTCTAGAATCAATGAAAAAAATACTTGAACTCCTTTAATAAAGGGCTTTGTGACAACCTGTTTTGAACATGTTATATTTGTGCATACCTCTGTGGGAAATTTTTGAGTAGAAAGTGTTTACATAAATAATTAGAAAAATAATA